CGAGGACTAAAGGGTCCTGGGTTCGATTCCGGTTAAGGGCAGGTACCTCAGTGGCAGACTTGGTTGGGGTCCATGCAGGAGGCAACCCATCGATGCATCTCTCTCACATCAATGTTTCTCCCTCTGTCTCTCTCCCCTTCCCTTCCACTCTCTCTAAAAACCAATGGAAAAGTATCCTCGGGTGAGGATGAACAACAACAAAGAGGCCACGGAGCCACGGGACCTCGCAGCCAGGCCACCTGCTTCCGTGGCCTGTGCCTGGGCATCAGCCGTGTCTCACCAACCTCAGGGCTCTCTCCTTCGCCCCCTCGGAACTGCTTTTTAAAGGCTCATCAGCACCGCCCGGGACACAAAGCTGGGCACCAAGACGATCCCATCCCGTCCCCGAGGCGCCCTCGCCTGCTTCCCTGGGCAGCGCCCCCACATCCAGGGCACGTGTACCCCCTCTTCCCGTGAGAGGGTAGGGGGAGGGACCGCCCCGCTGACCACAGACCACTGGCTCCGGAGCCTGGACAGACCCACACGAACGGCAACAGGAACCGAGAGTGACAGAGTGAGGCTGGGGGCGGGGGGGGAGGGACCTCACCCAGGCGCAGGGCAGGCAGTGCAGGCGGCAGATGCGGGGGGGACCTAATCCAGGCGCAGGGCAGGCAGTGCACAGGCTTAGCTGTGAAAAGCTCGGACTCGCCTGATTTCACCGTGTCCTTTGAAGACTCCCCCCTGGTCTGTTCCGCAGGCAGCGTGTCTGTGCGCGCGAGGAAAGGAGAAACGAAACAACTCCAAAAAAGCGAATCTTTTAATAAAAACGGCTCATAAAAATCCTAATAAATTTCAAAGAGCAAGAGAAGTCTCAGTACATTTATAAAAGAACATTTGGTCCTTTTACAAAAAGCTCCCTTTTCACGTAAATACATCTCTTATTTACAGTTCAGACGGACACGCCGTCGGCGCGAAGCCCATTGCACGTCACAGAGAAGCGCTTGTGTGTCCAGAGGTTCCCACTCCCCAACGCTAGATTCTCTTTAAAAACCAGGTTTACGTTTCTGGGGCACAATAAATAAAAATGCAGCTTGGGTTTTGCTACTTAAAACAACAACCTTTAAAACCATTTCTCTGCCTGAGGAAGGGCAGGCGGTCGGGAGGGTCCACAGGAACCGAACCAGCCACGCAGCCACGTTCAGGGGAAGGGAGCCCTGAGCCCTCCGGCCCCGCACCGCCCGCTGCCCCTTCACAGAAGCCCAGCCTGCCTGCGGGGAGAGGCCGGGCGGGCGGGTGCGGGACAGGAGAGGGAAGACGAGGGTTTCCCACGGGCGCCATCAGCC